AAAATATTAATATATAAAGAAATAATTATTCGGTTTACAAAAGTCTGTGGCAACAAAAACTACGTTTAGATGCCAATTATCAAAACAATTATTTAATAATTTATTCTGTTTACCTTTCCATACCCATCAGTGGCGCTTACGAATTGTGTATCTGGTTTTTGTAGTTAAACTTCGGCTGTACGAAGCTAGTATTTGTTGTTTTTGGTTGGCCAACTGAAACATTGGATAATCCTGGTGTGATTTTGCATTAGTAATCGAGAATAAGAATGTATGCAAATAGCTGCTAGTTGCAATTTCATGCTAATTTTCATTAATTGGAATTGGAAGTCGCGAATGTACTGTATATCCTGCTATATTGGGATTACGTTTTGTATTTATTTATTACGTTCTTTGTTTGGGTCGATAAAATTTTTCATTCAATTAACTTAGGCAAATACGTTTTTTTCACCGTTCAGTAAATACTATAACTAAAAACTCAAAGAAAAATTAATTTTTGGATTTTAAAAATACATTTTAAGCACGCTATATTGGTGGTTTACACGGGCAAATACAAAAGAAACGATTTAATTTTAAATGAAAGACCGAAAGCTAATGAGAAGTATTGAGACGTTAAATGTGAAGTTTTGTGAAGCATTGGCATTACTAAGGCTTAACTATTTAGAAATTCTTTACTTTGCTAGGCCTTGCGATGATGGAGGTTAATAAAACTACCTGTTCACTTTCGTTTCTCTATCTAGAATGTTTATTTCATCCTTCAACTATACAACCTGTCAGGTACCCACTGCAGTTAAATCTTGTACAATATTACCAACATTTTTGATACAAAATTATAAGAAAAAAATACAAATTAGTAAGAAATATACAAATTAGTAAGTAAAAAATTTTTGGTATTCCATGACGAGCAAAGATTGATTTTAAATGTGATAATATTGTTTTGCTTAGTGTATCCTCTAGCAGACAATTTTCTAGAAATTTGCTGTAGTAATCTACCGGCTTCTTCCCATAGTAAGTTGGGAACTTTGTGAGAAATTAAGGGCTCTCTTATTTGATTTTAAAATTGTGGACATATTTGATAGTTTTGAACTTCCTTTTCAATTTCTTCTGTCATGGAAGGTCAGTACAGTGATTGCCTAGCTAATACCTTACACTTAGTGATTCCTTGATGACCATAGTGTACTCTTTTTACCATTTCATTCCTCATTGATTGGGAGACAATGATTTGATTATTTATCAATAGTAAATTATCAAAAACAGTTATTTCATTTTTAAGTTTGAAGAAACTTTTTAAATCTTTATGTAAGTAATTTTTATCTTTAGACCATCCTTTCTTTATGTACAATTTAAGATCACTTAGATTTTTGTCTTTACTGGTTTCATTTTTGATTTTTTAATGCACTAATGCTTAATTTGACAAGACATATTTGAGATTCTAATTTGAGATCTAAATTGTTTTTTAATTCTGGTTTTTCAGAACAACATCGTGATAACTGTGATAAGGTATCAGCTATGTTAAGTTCGTTTTCCTTTTTATAGTGAAACTTGTAATTATATTTCTGCAGTTTAAATGACATGCGTTAAAGCCGCGGTGATGTCTATTAAAGGTTTTTTTACAATTGTTATTAGAGGTTTGTGATCAGTTTCTATATCAAAAGCTGAACCATAGATGTAATTATGAAATTTTTCACATGACACCAGGACTCCAAGCAATTCCTTCTCAATTTGAGCATAGTTTTTTTGTGTTAAAGTGAGGGCCTTCGATATACAGGGTGGACCGGATTTAATTTGCGTATACAGAGATCTCGTAAACCGTAAGATGAACAGTGTTGGTTAAATGGGGAAAATGTTTCGGATTTTGACGGATAATACAATGGTCCATAGAAGTTCCAGATTTTCTGACTGGTTCCGGAGATATTCGATAAAATCCGAAAAACCTCATTTTCGTTTTTTAAGTCGTGCGTTGTTATTATAAAAAATACAAAAAAAATTATACGAAGTTTTTGTTATAAATCAAGTTCCCTATAATCTGCCATGTCAAAATTTTTATTACGACATTTCGTATTTGCAGGGACACCTTCAACTTATTTTTTTAAATACTAACCTGGATTTTTAATTATAATTTTTTATAGCTCTTGTATTATAGCTAAATACAACGATATATTACACTTTACCATTTTACTACGTTTCGTCTATGAAAATATCATCAGCAATGTAGCTTCTGATGATACCGTTTCTTACTTGATTAAAAAAGATAGCTAATTAAATAATAATTAAAAAACAAAAAATGCTTAAAATGTGAAATTTTAAATATTATTTGAAACATAATACAAGAATTATTTAATTACAAACTGGGTTACAATTTTTTATCAAACATGATTAAGTACAACCAGCAAACAAGACTAATGAAGAACGAATTATGGTTGTACACATTCTATAAATAATAAAGCTAATAACAAAAACATAAAATGAAAAATAAAACGGTCAAGCAATCTATAAATTCCTATCACCTGATTTTCTGAAAAATATTTCGCTTAGATTTCTCACACCGTATTTTTTCTATCTTTAATGTTTTCATTTTTGCATACATAAGATCTTAACAAAATCATGTTTGCCATGCATGTCAGTTGTAACTTGTCACCAATATTTCTGTTATAATTTGTAACATCTAATATTACAGTACTTTTTAGCTTTAAATAATTTAAAATTAAATAAATATTATGGTTCGTTATACTGAAGAAGAGAAGAAAGATATGTATGATATGTACATAAGATGCTATAGGAATGAAACCCAGTCAGCTCAGACTTATTTAGATTTATATCCTGATAGACAACAGCCATCTAAGAGGATGTTTTTTTATATGTATTTCAAAAAATATGGCAGAGCATAGCAGTGTGAAAAAAAGGAGAACTAGATATCAGGTTCGACATACTGAAAATGAAATTAATATTCTTGCCCAAATACATATTAACCCTGACAATTCTACTAGGCGAATAGCTAAAGAATGTGTAGTAGGAAACTCCACGGTTAAAAGAATTTTAAAGAAACATAAATACCACGGGTATAAATTTCAAAAAGTCCAGAAATTACACGCTGGATACTCTGATAGAAGACTGATGTTTTGTCGTTGGTATAGTAGAAAACTGCGCAATGACCGTTCTTTCAACAAAAATATATTATGGACGGATGAATGCTCCTTTACTAATAGTGGAATATTTAATCGCAGGAACAAGCATTTGTATGCTACTTCTAATCCCCATTTAATCATAGAAGTTAGACCACAATTCCGTTTTACCCAAAATGTGTGGTGTGGACTAACCAATAATCAGATTATTGGGCCGATTTTTTTGGATGGTAATTTAAATCAGTTCCGATACCTACATTTATTGGAGAAAGTACTTCATGAGATGCCCTAACAAACAAGACAAAATCTTCAATACTTCATGCAAGACGGTTGTGGTGCACACAATGCTAGGAGGGTTGCAGAGTATCTCGATCAATATTTTAGAGGTAATTGGATTGGTACCAATTGACCAATAAGATGGCCTCCTCGATCTCCGTTCTTAACCCCATGAATTATTTTGTATGGGGCTTCGTAAAGAACCAAATCTACGATAAAAATATGCCCAATAATCTACAAGAACTTTGTCAACGAATAGTAGATGCATTAAAGTTGAAGGTGGTAGCCATGTGTGAGTTATAAGTTCAAAAAGGTAAATCAAACGAGGGTGGTCCTTAGGATCTCACAAGAGTATTTTTATTACGACCGGTTTCGAGGATCAGATCCTCATCATCAGGTAAGGTCTAAAAATTGAGAGGAAAAACGAATGAGCTCATAACTAATAAAGTGGGTTTAAACATTTTAATATGAAAGTTGTCAAATATCAAGAACTCGCCCGTAATTACTCGTCTATTTAAGACTAAGCTAAGAGAGTTATCCCAGGGTCGGTGTAAAAACAAGTATGCGAGTATTTTTTAAAATACATAAAAAATATAAAAAAACAATAGTTGCAACAAAAAGTTGATGTCAAAACACATAAACAAAAGTAGGTCTAAAACTATTAATTAAAATTATTAAAATATTTCACGAACGAACGAACAATTAAGACAAACAAATTTAAAAACTTTTTAAACCCTACAAGCACTAAAAAGGGTTCTTGGACAAGTGTTTATAATTCTACAGAAATTAAATTTTATTTAGTTCATCTTTTAGCTTCCTTTTTAATGGAAGTGGAATTTTCTTTGGGGGGTGTACTACTAGTGTAATTGTTTCATCGAGCTTGATTGTGTATGGCTCATCTAAACACCAATACCTGAAAAAACATCATTAAACTTTTGTTTTAAATCACTGTAGTCATTTTTAAATTTGATATTGGATTTACTAACTTTAATTTTTTCCATTTTATATATTCTTTAAACAATATTTAGTGATTTACAAGTGGGTAGACCTATTACTGTTGGCGCATTTACTTCTACTATATAAAAAGTTAACATGTGTATCTCATTTTGGTAACTGCATTCCAGTGTGCATTTCCCTATTACTCTTAAGGTTTCATTAGAAAATGTTGTTAACTTGCAACCTGTTTTATCTAGGTTTACACTTATTTCTAATGAGTTTAATTTATTTAAGGATATTTTACATTGACCATTGCCCCTGTATATAATCTACATTTTAAACCGCGGCTATTAACCATGAAGTTTATCATAAAATCATCATCGTTATCTAAACTTTCATTTTCAGCATTTATTAAACCTAAGAATAGTTCATCTGAGTCTGAATCATGCATGGTTGGCCTATGTGATCTGTCCCATATCTGTAGCAATCTTGGCTCTTTCTCATATAGAAGTAGCTGCTTTGGGCTCCTCTGGGGTAGCTCTGGTTTATTCTGGATCTGCTCTTTCCTCCCTGGATGTTCTAATATTTATCTCTTTGTTTCCATTTGCCTTAAGCTATGAAATTTACCTCTTCTGATTTGCCTATCTTCTCGGATTGAGTTTTATATACTTTTACATAGGTTGATTGCCTTCTCTAAATTTATGTTGTCTTCTTTTAGTAATCTTTGATGCATGTTCTCATCAGCAACTCCGCATGTTATGCATATCTTGATTAAACTGTCCTCCAAGTCATTTAACTCACATCCTTTTGCTCTGTTTATTAAGTGCGTAATAAATTTTTCAACTGTATCGCCTTGTTCCTGTTTTCTTGCATTCGACAGATTACTTTTGGGTTTGAAGTAGCTCTCAAATGTTTGTAATAAAGGTTGTAATTTATTTGCTTCTTCATTAGTGAACTTGAAGGTGTTGAAAATTGTAAATCCTTCATTTGTTTGCATGGAAGAAATTGCCGTCTTGAAATCCATTTGAATTTGTTAATTATTTTTTTTTTATTAAATTTTATTTTTGTCATCCACTGACTAAATTTCCTGCATGTTTGATTGTTTTGTATTTCCCACTGTATTTAAGTTACGTTTGATTCTGTTTTCGGCACCATGTGATGATGGAGGTTAATAAAACTACCTGCTCACTTTTGTGTTTCTATCTAGAATGTCTATTCCATCCTTCAACTGTACAATCTGTCAGGTATCCACTGCAGCCAAATCAAGTATAGTGTTACCAACATATATCACAGGCCTAGTTTTTAAAAGGCATCTCATGTCGTTTTTTGAGGGTTTGAATATTGTTTGAACTTCAAAAAATATATCAGCTCTTTACCCTTAAACTTCTAAAAGTAAAAGTAAGAATTGGAGCCGTTACCTTTTTGATTCTAATTTAAAATTAAAAGACAAGTCCATTCTGGAGTTTCTTAAAACTCATAAAAAATCATCATTATTTCACCATCCTGTATGTTATTCGCGTAAAATGTACATTTATTTTAACTTAAAACAATTATTTTAACTTACCAGCCTTGCTGGTTTTCTCAGCTCTTTTAATTTTAAATAAAATTTTCCTTTTACCATTTTTTTAATGTATTTTATTTATTTCTCTAACTCATTAGAAACATTTAATATTCAATATTTCCATTTATCTTATCTTTTACGTAAATCCATAATTGATAATCCAAAATCCTTTCTGAAAATCTCCCAAAAATGTAATAAAATGATAAAAATAATAATAATAATGGCAATAAAATTAATAATTGGATAACATAATCAGATTTAGGCGCTATGGCTATCCAAAAAAATGGTTTTTATTTTTTTGTGCGAAAACCGTGCATCGAGCGAAATCAGACCAAGAGGCCAGATGTGCTATAAAAGAAATAGAGAATTTAAAAATATTTTTTATTACAAGAAAAACCAGTGGCGTACCGTTTTCTTTTTAGTTCAAAGCCCGCATGAACGCCAATGGCAAATGTAAAAGTTTAAATTGTGTATCGGAAAATGGCTTTGGATGCATAGAAACTGCCAATAAATTTTCAGAAAAATATCTACAGGGGTATTAAATATATCGAAAAAAATAAGTTTTTTCTTATAACTTTACCACCCTGTAGTTCAAAATCTAAGAGGCGTAGGACATATATTCATGGAAACTTTTTTGCTTCATTTCGTCCAAGGGAATTTTTTCGCAATATTAAAAAAACACCCTGTATAAGATAAATATAATATTCGGAACGAAAATAGAAAAATTGACATTAATATGTAAATCAATTATTCATATCAAACGGAACACTTTAAAAATAGGTTAAAGACATTTACCCATAGTTTACAAATCGTTGCAGAAAACTTTACTTTAAACATTATTGTGTTCTGGGACTTTAGGGTCCCGAAACGCGAGAGTCTCGCCTTTCGGCAAGAGTTTTTGGACCTCAGTCCTCACTCGAGTCTATTTCTGTCTAGTATCGCTATACAGGGTGTTATTGAAATACACGTACATATTAAAATGGGGAATAGTATGTAATGACCAAAAACGATTGGCACCAATTTTAACTTCAATTTCTAAAATTTAAATATTGGGGAAGAGTCACCTTTTCCGACCTACTAGTTTCCATATTTAAAGAAGTAAAATAAATCGAAATTGAACTTACCCATAGAAATTGCACTGTTGCCGTAGCAAAACCAATTAATTCAAAATAAAGTTTATTACAGTAATTGTTCAAAATGCCGTCCATTATTATTTACACACACTTGCAATCGTCTTTCCAAAGAACTTTGAACATTAGAAATTAGTCTTGGATTTTGTCGTAGTTCCTCGGCTACCGCATTAACTTTATTGGTTAATTGTTCAACACTATTAATAGGTTCATTATAAACCAGTTGTTTCATGTGACCCCACAAAAAGAAATCGCATGGATTTAAGTCCGGAGATCTCGGAGGCCACTTAGTAGGTCCATTTCTGCCTATCCACTTTTGAGGAAATCTAATGTTCAAAAACTGCCATACGTTTAAATCAAAGTGAGGAGGAGCACCATCTAGTAGGTACCACATCCGTTGCCTTAATTCTAACGGTATCTCTTCTAGGAGTACTGGCAAAATATCTTCTAAAAAGTGAAGATATCTTGGCCCATTTAATCTGTTCGGGAGAACATAAGGCCCGATTAAATACTGATCTATTATGCCAGCCCAAACATTTATTGAAAATTTTCTTTGATGCCCAGTTTCCCTAATGGCGTGAGGATTTTCATCACTCCAAATATGCGTATTGTGCATATTGAACACGCCATCACGAGTGAATGAAGCCTCGTCAGTATACAATAATATTTTTAGAAAATCAGGAATATCAACACATTTTTGAATCATCCATTCACAAAACTCCACTCTCTTTTCTTCATCACCTGGATATAAGGCCTGGACTTTTTGGATGTGATAAGGATGTAAACCTTGTTCTTTAAGTGTCCGCCACACAACAAATGAGGACACTCCAATTTCAAGACCTAGTCTTCTACAACTTAATTGAAGCCGGTTTTCAACAGCTTCCAATATTTCTTCTTCGGCCGCCAATGTTCTTTGTGTTCTTGTTCTCCCTCGATCTGCATTGACACTCTCAAATTTTCCATGGTCTCTTAGATGCTGAACAGTTGAAATAAACGTACGACAGTCCGGAATTCTCCGATTTGGAAACCGTTCGCGATACAGGATTTGTGCTTGCCGAGAATTTTCTCCAGCTGCCCCATAAACCAGTACTATATCCGTTAGTTCAATATTCGTAAATAGTGGCATCGTAAAAAAATATTTAAAAGTAATCGTAACAACACTTTTTACCAACTTGGAAATGACGCGCTCGTGTTAGCCAGATTCGTAAATCAACTAAAATTTTAATAATCTATAGTTTCAAAAATGTATAGTTTAAAAACAATCATTTATCAAATATTCTAGTTTTTTGATAACGAGGGTAGTAAAAACCAGTCTTCGGAAATAGAAATTAATTCGAAAATCTTGGCAACATGGTTATTTCTTACAAGACTAGTTTTCTTATCATCTGACAAAAACTTGCATATTAATTACTGTTGATGTTTAAAATAGGTAAATAAACCTAATTTATATAGGTCATCCTCAACATATCAGTGAAGTACGTTTGTTTTAGAATTAATTTTCAAAAATTAATAACTCCCTTAATAAGGGGTATTTTTAAAAAATAATATTTTTCTACATTCAGTGGGGATCTGCGCAATACCCAGTTTTAATATGTACGTGTATTTCAATAACACCCTGTATAAATCCAAAATTTACATGACCGTTCTACTTGTTTGAATGCCAATCTTAAATTAATGATTTTATTGTAATGCAAGTGTATTCTTTTGATTATGAATTTAAAATATTAAAAAATACTTTTTTGGAATTTTTATTAAATTCTTTATATTTTTTAAATAATTATGCCAATTATTACTCTTACCGTTGGATGAATGTGATCAAACCAATTATTTTTTATATGCACGTCATGTCCAAATATAAATAGGCGTTTCGTTTTTATTTTGCTTGATGCGTTGGTTAACGTATTGTATATAAGAAAGTAATCTTTTCTTTTACTTAACATTTCCAATTTCGCTACATTTTGAGAGAATAAAATAACCTATTTTAATGATAAAACAATAAAAAAAGGAACAATAAAGCCTTTTGATTCTAGCTTATATAATTTTGAGCAAATTATATTCAGAATTCGCCTTCAATAAGTAAATTCAGTTTAGTTAAACGTTTCAAGATTAATATTAAGTAATTATTTTAAGGGTTACGACTTAATTAATTCCATTTATTGGGGTAGAAGCCGGGTCGTGTTGTGCAAACTTGCATACACCCTAATAACTTATACAACTGTTTATAGTCTGTAGTTTGTTATTGTTATTATGCTGAAATTCACTGTTGGCAACTGCACGACTTCTTAGATAGAGATTTGCATGTCGAATATAAATGCTTACCATATTCCGCTAGATTAAGCCGTAAATAAATTAGTAACCGTTTATCCTTAGAGTAAGTCCCAAAATACATATTTGCGCAAGGAGAAAAAGGAGTTAAACCTTTCTATTGAGATCTAAAATTAAGATCACAGCACCAGATGTTCCTGAAATTCGAACTACTCAAAAATAGGTATTTAACGGATTATAAACTAACTAGATCAAATTTTTAAAACCATAATTATTTGAACCTTCTAAAAATTATATCTGCAATAGGCCTAATCTACACGAACTTATTTTTTCGAGAATAAATGTAAAATTATACGAAAAAAATAATTAAACCACTATTTACAAAATCACATCTTCAGCAATGTCCATAAAAGCAAATCAAATAATAATATGTTTACTCGTATTATATAATCACATATTGTCTTATACCTACTTATCCATCAGTTAAGTACTCTATCAGGAAGTTCGGAGGTAAGATATATTTCAAATTACAGGCCTCATAAAAATGGGTTTTGAATGATTATTTCTTTATTTTTTAAATATCGATTTTGAGAATCCATCGATTATAAACAATAAAATTCTGTCATCAATCGTTAAGATTTTTAACTTTTTTCACATACTTCGATTTTCTCTTAAAATACGGAAAATCCTAGCACTGTGCAGCTTTCCGATTGTCTTTTAAAAGGAGATAGAAAACTCCGCCATTTTGGACACTTATTACGTGTTGCCTACATCTTGGAGCAATAGTTTTAGTGGTTATGTCACAGAATAATAGAGAGTTATTAGTAGAGAGCGGAATATATGCAAAATGCATATATATGCATTTTTTGCATATTTTACCAAAGTTCAGAAAATATTGCATATTTTTCCAAAATTCAGAAAATATTGCATATTTTACCAAAGTTCAGAAAATTTAAGAAAATATTGCATATTTTCGAAAAAAAAAAATGTATTACTATACTGTGCAAATCAAAAACTGTTTTAACATATTATACAGATATATTTGAAATAAAGACCTTTTAAATTTTT